TGGTCCTAACCCCTTGCCATTGATGAGTGGCCATTACACTGCAGTCTGCCCCAGTGAGCGGGGCTTAGATGATGACTGGCAGTAGTCAATGAGGCAAGGTGGGTTTAGAAGGTTGGGGGTTCCCCAGGGAGGGGAGACCCAGAGTGTGGGGGTACTGCTAGGGCAGAATCCTAGGATAAAGGTCACCAGGGTCTGGGAAGGACACGGATGCCGGCAGCAGGTGAGACACTGGCCTGCAGAGGGCACTCCAAAGGCTGGAAAGAGCTAATTCCCAAGATGACCAACAGGAGGCGCTGCACTGATGAGTCCTCGCCTCCCTACACCAGGTCAATATAGGTTTGGATCTTACCCAAAATATCAGGCTGCCAGCCAATCCTTTAGTGTATAAAACTAAAGGTTTGTTATAAAGAAAAAGAGAGAACAAGAAGAGAGTTGTTAAATGATAAAGCATTCAGATACATACAAGCGGCAAAGAGTCCTGTGGCACCTTATAGACTAACAGACGTATTGGAGCATAAGCTTTTGTGGGTGAAGTCCTGTGGCACCTTATAGACTAACAGACATATTGGAGCATAAGCTTTCGTGGGTGAATACCCACTATTCACCCACGAAAGCTTATGCTCCAATACGTCTGTTAGTCTATAAGGTGCCACAGGACTCTTTGCTGCTTTTTCAGATCCAGACTAACACAGCTACCCCTCGGGTACCAGATACATACAGAGACCTCAAAGTCCATATATCAGATTCTTAGCAGTATTGATGAGTTTTCTGGCTTGAAAGTCCCTCTGGAATACACCCACAGCTTGGATGAGTCATTCAGTCCTTTGTTCAGAGCTTCAGTTTGTAGAAAAGTTACTCCAGAGTAATGCCAACGAGCCTTCAAATGACCAAAGGTACAGTCAACTGTCATCTGCACCTGCTGAGCCTGTAGTTAAAGTGCTCCTTGGTGCTGTCAAGGTAGCCGGTGTATGGCTTCATGAGCCATGGGAGCAAGGGGCAGGCTGGGTCTCCCAGAATCACTACTGGCATTTCAACGTTCTCAAGGGTGATCCACCAGTCTGGAAAGAAAGTCCCGGCTTCCAGCTTTCTGAAGAGTCCTGTGTTCCTAAAGATGCATCTTCCCTGACCAGCCCATATTGCTGTTGGTAAAGCATCACTGGTGATACACCAGTGCTTGCATTACTATAGAAAAGTAGCCCTCTCTGTTGATGTACTCTGTGGCAAGGTAGTCTGGTGCTACAATAGGAATATGTATACCACCATCTGCAGCTGCTCCATAAATGCCACTGACAACCTTGAATTGTTTCTTTCTGTGTCCCACAGCACTCTAGCCCCCAAGAAGTCATGTTTCCCGTGGCTCTTTTTGCTGCTCTGCAAATACTGCAGGATCAGGCACCTCATAATCACAATAGAGTGCAGAGCGGTGCAGGATCCATGCTTCTGTCACAGACGGCGGGCAGCAGGGAGGGATCCATGGGCTTGTGGGGATTTTGAAAAGAGGCATGAAATATTATGGGGTGAGGATGAAATTATGGGATGGAGAATACTGCATTATGGAAAGTTGAACCCATGCTCCCAGCCACCCCTGCAGGACTTGTTTTCACCCTGGGAGGCATTGCAAAAACTTCCCTAAACACCCTGCGCTGGATGGTGGTGAGTTGCACAGTGGGATAGCTACCCAGGGTGCACTACACTTTGCATCAATACAAGCACTTCTTGTGTCAGCAGTCCATGTGCTCACCAGAAACATAATGTGGAGACGCACAAGTGATATAATAACTGTGGCGGCTGTATGCCAGCATAACTTAGGTCAACATAATTTTGTAGTATAGACGTGGCAGGTAAAGTCCCAGATAACATCCATGGAAATAATAAACAAACAAGCATATACCACATTAAGTGGATGCATTATGTTAATGCATTATATTATAGGGAGTGGTGCTCTCTCTTAACACACTATTCAGCTGATACAAATAAAATATTCAGGTTACATATTTACATTGTTTCATTAGCCACTCGAGAATAGGTATGCTGTTCTACATCTGTGTGATGTTAGTTATCCTCTTCTCATGAATTCGGGAATCTGAATCTCCTATCCAAGGTGCAACACAATTCAACTGCTAATTCAGTATTTTTCATAAGTCACTCTGTGAAAAAGTGTTCCTCATTGGACATCAGTGTTCTCTTTTCCTTTAATTGATATGTGTAAAAACTTGTATCATTTGTATGGAAATGTAGGGGATTGGCATATCTCTTGAATTATATTTTGGGATAAACACAGAAGCACAGATGTCAATGTGCTAATTATCCATTCTGCTTAGATTTTAAAATGTATTTCAAATTTAGGACAACATAGTGAACATCAATATGGCAAGTTGTACCTTTTAATGTTGTTAACATTTCTGTATGTAGAAGGTGGAAGGTGAAAAGAAAGGGGGGAAAGAGGTGGGGGGAAGGAGAATGTCTCTAATCAAATCCATATTGGAATGCTCTATTGCAGGGGTGGGCAAACTTTTTGGCCCATGGGCCACATCGGGGTTGCAAAACTGTATCAAAAAAGCAAGTGTGAACAAGAGGAAGCTGACACAAGCTTATGCCTACTCCTGTATCTGGCTTTAAAGAAGCACACCAAAACATGTTTATATAGTTCTAAATAAACGTTTGAATTACAAGATCCAATGTTTACAATTACTTTTTTTTCTGGTTTGCCACATCTAAATGGTAACTTTTTAAAAACAAGGCAGTGGGGAGTTTTAAATGTATTGCCAATCAGACTGTCAGTTTTAAAATAGGTTAAATTTAGGGTCTAAATTGAATAATTGTATTCCCTTTCGGAGGGCTAAATCTCATTAGTACCTGCAGCAGTAGGTCCTTGCAAAAATATCGCTGGTTATTTCAATCAAAGCAGCAGAGGTAGTAGCACAATAGCATGTATCAGATGGATGTTTAGAATCTTCCTACAATGCCTGCTTATTTTCAGAATCCATTGCTTTCATTCATATAGATTGTCCTTTTTCATCTATGAGCCACGTTTTACCTATTTAAAAATGAAACTGCAAATTATTTATGGATGAGCATATGCTCATTCTCCCCTGCAATTTCTGAACCTTGGTCTCTGCTGTAAATTGCTCCTGTTTGTGCATATCTTACATGCCACATACAAAATCTCTCTGTAGGTTTAAGCCTCCACAACAAAATGCAATTGTACGAAGCATGACCTGCTCCTGCATCCATTAAGGTTGTTGTCAGTCCCAGAATAAACTCTTCAGCGTTCTGCCCATTAAAATATGTTTGAAATTAAACAATGTTCAGTGACTGAAAATGCAAAGCTTACGTTAGAAAAATAATGATTAATGAGCAACCCAATAGCCACAATAAGATTTCATCTCCTAGGATGTGAGGGTTTTGTTTGTTTTTCAATTACCATTATTTATAGTAACTGGATCAAACGTTTAAAGAGATACTTTCAATTTGAAAATCTTGTCCTTGAATCACTCTTCTAGCCAAGCTGAACTCGCTACTGGAGAAGCAAGGATGGTTATGGGCTAACTTTGAGCTCCTATGATTCTAGAGCTATCCAGGGGCCTATCTGGCACTCAAGGGGATCACCAGGCACTAAGAATGCTACAATCAAACTCCCTTGCTCCCAGCCATGTTCCCTACACCTAGCCAGGAGAGGGTGTTTCTTTGATTCTGTGTCACCCAGGGATTCTACTACTGGGTTTCCAGATGCTTCACAGTCCCAGAACAGCTAAAAGCAGCTGTTGCAGATGCAGGAATTAGATCCCATATTTGCTCATCAAACACACGTCTGCCTATCTTATGCCTGATACTTTAGATTATTAAAAGAGAAGGAATGTTAAATATCCAATTTCCTTGTCACAATTTATGCCCTCTATTTTCTTTTTGCATCATCACTCAGTGAAACTGAATTTAGTTTCACTTTTCTTTATATTTATTTTCACTTTCAAGTTCTTAGAACTGTAATGTTTTGGTTTGCAAACACTGAAGGGAAATTTTGAGGGGGTTCTTTTAACAGGTGCTTTCAACAGAATTTTTTAAAAAAAATGTGAAAACATTTCTATTGGTCTTAAGTTTCACTATTTTTACAAAAGTTTAAAATTGAACTACAACTAAGTGGACAGTGTCCCTTTAAAGTGGGTTTACTGTTTGTAAAATATGCTAATTTGATAGCACTGGAGACTGAACTCAATCCTTACAATTATGGTACAGCCAGTTATAACAATGTCAAATTCCCCACATTATCCCATCAGTGTCCTTTCATCCTGATTTGGAAGGATCATCTTTAAGTCAGTCTCTGTGTCCGTTCAGTCCTTTGCCTCCCTACTGAAACTACACCAAACTAATCAGCGAGGGCCAAGTTCAGTGGTTGTTAAGGAGACACTTGTAGTTGCAGTTCAGTTTCCAGCAAACTAAACTGGTTTCAACTAAAAAGAATATACTACCAAACATCCATCAAATAAATTGTTGTCACTATTGAAACAGGCCAGATTCCAAACAGTGACTGAGGGCTGACTGGCTTAACATCCCATTATTAATGTCCTGAGCAATCCAGTTCACCATGAACCAACCATTTTTTATTAATTTCAGTGCAGTGGCACAAATTCAACTTCTGTAAGAAATCAAATGCCACTAACAATGTCTGTTTGGCCTTCAGAATAAAGAACCATAGGTTTAACAGCAGTATTACAGTTCAGCATGCAAGTAATCATTATTATGGTGTCATAGACATCTTTGTCTATGAGAGGGACATCTTAAAAGAGGCCTTGATCCAGCATCTAATTAATTTTGTGCCTGAAGTCAGATGCAGAGGAACATGACAACATTTACACATCTAATTATATGATTTATGAGTGCAATCAATTAGAAACCTATATTCTATATGCAGTGTTGTTGTAGGTATGTTGGTCCCAAGATGTTAGAAACAAGGTGGGTGAAGTAATATCTCTTATTGAACCAACGTCTGTTTATTATTTTCTCAGGGGAAAGTGCAAACACAGTCTCCCACTACTACAAGTTATGCAGTTGAGTTTCCCACAGTGGGGGAAATCACAAGGGTCAGCACCCCTGGAATGCAATGGATGAACCTTATCCTGAGAAAACCACCTCATGATCATGGTATCTTCTGTCAGTCAGAGAGACAAACTTTCGAGCTACACAGAGCTCTTCTTCGGGTCTGGGAAAGGTACAAAGTGTCACAGCTAAATAAAAGATTGAACAGATAGTGCATATTTTAAGGGACCATTTAAGGTGAAATGGCCCTTTAACACCCATGTTAACAACCCCCCCAACCTCTTCAAGCTCATCATCAGAAGCAAGTTCCCAACAGACCAGGACCAACTCAGAGCAGCACCAGACCCTGCCAGAACAACAGATGCCAAACCTGCAAATATTTTTCCACTGCTTCTATGACCAACATCCCCCACAATACACCTTTCAAGATCCACAAGTCCTACATGTGCCTGTCCCAGCATGTGGTATACCTCATCCAATGCACTAAATGCCCTAATAACAACTACGTGTGTGAAACCAGACAATCGGTACTCTCTCGAATGAACTCACACAGGAAAATTATAAGACAAAAGCACCATGTCACCTGTGGGTGAACACTTTTAACAATGTGATCATTCTATATCTGACCTCTCAGTTCTCATCCTCACAGGAAACCTGCGCAACACTTTCAAAGGATGAGCCTGGGAGTTTAAATTCATGGTCTTAATAAAGACACTGGATTTATGGCTTATTACAACAATCTGTAACCCACTAACCCCTTTTTGTCAAAAGAACATAAGAACGGCCATACTGGTTCAGACTAATGGTCCATCTAGCCCAGTATCCTGTCTTCCAACAATGGCCAATGCCAGATGTTTCAATGGGAATGAACAGGGGAATTATCAAGTGATCCATCCTCTGTGGTCCAATCCCAACAGTTCTGTGACTTCAGGGGTGTTAACAGGCCATTTCACCTTGAATGGTACGTTAGTATATGTGCTAACTGCTTATGCTAAACTATCTGTTCTATCTTGTATTTAGCTGTGACGCTCTGCCTACACTTACAAGCTTGCAGCTGCACAGTGCTCATGTGGCTGCATTAGGCTGATGGGAGAGCTCTCTCCATCGACATAATAAAACCAGTTCAATGAGTGGCACTAGCTATGTCAACAGGAAAGCATCTGCCGCCCATATAGCCCTGTGCACACGAGTGCTTACGCTGGCAAAACTTATGTCACACCCCTGAGCGACAAAAGTTTTCCCTGACATAAGAGCTAGTGTAGACATGGCCTTAGTACCTTCCCCAGACCTGCAGAAGAGCTCTGTGCAGCATGAAAGCATGTCTCTCTCACCAACAGAGGTTGGTCCCATAAATTATCTCACCCACCAGGTCTAAATTCTTCATTTGTGCTTAAAGAACATTCTTTCATACAAGTACAGAAAGCTGAATGAGACTACCTTTGAATAAGGTTGTCATCTCCCTGGTTTTTGAATGGGTTACCTGATCTCCCAGTCTCCATCCTATTTCCCCATATTATAAATTTCCTCCCCTAGACACCACCTTCCAGTTCTCACGACATTACAGGAGTGCTACCACACTTCCCTCACATTACTAGTCTGCTTCTGCTGTGCCTCTGTGTCTTTTAACTGATGCCCTGCTTGCTTGGAGGTATGCGAGAGTGATTGTATGAGAATGAAGGAAAGAGATTGCAGGGGAAGACAGAGGAGTAATGAAAACAGGCAAATGATGTGAGAAGTTGGAACTCACATGAGGAGACAGAGAGATACCAGATGAGAACTAGAGACCAAGAAGAGAAAACAGCCAGCACATCATCAGAAAGAGAAGGAAGACCACAAGGATGTGGTACAGCTTAGGATAAAGTTGTGAGTTGGTGGGACGTGCAATGACTGGGCTAAAATTTAGTTTGAAAAGATGAAAATTTTACTTTTGGAACCGATAATCCTTGCTCTAAAACCAGCTAGTTTCCCCCTTACATAGTGATGCAAAGTAATTCTACCTCCTGCTGGCCTGGAGGGTAAGGAACTTGAGTCAGAAATCAAACCCTTACATGGTAGAGCAGAGCATAACCATAGAGTCAGCATGCTGCCTTGGGGGGGACACACAACAAAAACTTATTAATTCAAACATTTGATGTTTAAAAACTCTAAATTAGCACAGAAATTATAAAATAATATGAAAAAGGCCAATAAGAGTAGGACTGAAAGAACTAATTAAAGCTTCAAATTTTTGAGTGTGAGTGACTAACTGCATCCACACAAAGTCTCATTGACTTCATTGGAGCTCTGTGCAGGCACAGCAATCTGCCCATGCTGTTACCCTAAAATTTTAGATGCCAGTGATGTTAGCCTGCAATGGCACTTTTAATTTAACCAAAGAACAACAAGGTTGTGGCCTGCCCTAAAGGAAATGCCACAGTGTTACCAGGGGGCTTGTGTCCAACCTGCGGAAGATTCCCCAGAGCAAGCTAGTTTTGGTAACCCCTGAAAGGACACAGATACAGCCTTCCGCTCAAGGATGAACACACAAGAGTAATTCTTTGAAAACAAAATAATTTATTTAAAAGAAATAAGTGGTTACAATGTATTTAATGAAGCAAGACATTATATGGAACATAGTAAAAATGCAATAAAATTACATTTAAAGCATCTTATAATGAGAGCAGCACTGTGAAATAAAGACACAGACTGCTTACAATATCTGACACCCCACACAAAGAATACAGTAGCTTCAGTGTAACGTATATATAGATATTCCCCTATAAACAAAGGCTTTTAGTTTTAGTGATACAATTTAACCCCATACTTAATACAATGTGGTATACGTGGTATATACCCACAAGAAAAAATATTACCATATTCACAAATTAAAAATAAAACATTTACTTAACATCAACATTGACTCTTAACATTAAACATTTAACATTCTGTAAACGCTGGCCAAGCGGTTACAAGATGGGTAGCAGAGATCTCCCTCAGGACGCAGGCATCCAGCTTTATTTACAGACAAACCCATACACTCTTAAATAATAGATATAAAAAAGATCAGACTTATACTTCTTCAAAAGTTTCCCTCTGACTCATCTCATTGGTCCTTCTGCTCTGTCTGATTTCCTGCACTATGTTCTCCACAGCTGCGCTGTTGCTCCGTCGGGCCGCAGATGCAGTGGCGGTTGCTGCTCTTCTGTTGCTGCTGGCAAGGTAGCTGCTAGCAGGCAGTTGTTCGTTGCCACAGCAACCTTAGAATTCTGCTGCTGCTGCTTTTTCAAGTAGCTGCTTTTCAGGATGTTCAGTTCTTCTTTTCAGGCAGCTTCCATTCTCATGCAAAGCCTCAAACCCACTTCTTTTCAACCTGCTAGTTAGTAGACAGCCTCCTATGCCTAACCACTACAGACTCAGCCTGCTGGATGTCAGCCTTACATACTGGTTGCTCGCTCAAGGTCAGCTCCTCTCAGCCAATCAGCTGCTAGCTTTTTCCAGCTCCTCCGCATGACATCATACCTATTCTTAGGTAGGAAAGCTCCTCCCTCTGACGCCATCTTGGATTCTAATTGTTTTTAAGCACCTCCCTCTGACGCCATCGTGGTTGCTAGAACTTTCCACTACCTAAATTTAAACTATTATCCTTGTCGTCACCATTTTGGCCAGCCATGTTGTATTTTCTAAATTTAAACGATGAATTTCTATTTAATTAGAGCCTTAATCTTAAAACTAATTACTGTTTTATGCAAACCAAAGTGTCCTAATACTGTCACCACCTTAATTGTATCAATTGGGAGAAATGAATTTTACCGCGTTTTCAACCCCCTTCCAAGGTGTTTCTGTAAGCTTCTATTAAGATGCTGCAAGGTATTTCAGAACATTCAGAGCAAAATTCTCTCATTACAGTGACCAATGAATGGCAAGACTGGGGCCCATGTTGACAGTAATGTGAAATGTTGTACAAAATCTGATCATAATTTTATGTCGTGTACTAGTTCAACATTAATTTAAAAAATTGACCCAGTGAATAGTGAAAAAAACAGCAAGAGACAGTCACCTCATACCCAGCAGATGGCAGAATACACTCACAAAAAGGTTCTATAGTCCATCAGATGGAGATGGGAAGGGAAAAAAGGCTCTGCTTTTCAAAACTGCACTTAAATTGTCTAACCATATGTCACCGGGTGGCTGGTTCCTGTGATTAAAGCAGTCCAGTGCCCCTGTGCCAGAGGAGGTGCTCCTAGTTGAGCCAATTAAGGGAGTGGGACAACACCTGAGCTATAAAGGGTCTAACGATGGCTCTGTGAGAACAGAGCTTGAAGGGGGAAGGATTGAATTGAAGCTGTAGGGAGAGAGGGTTTCCTCTAGTGGCTCCTAAACAAGGGAGTTGGGGCTATGTAAGACGATCCAGCTGTAAGTTTTGTTTTTCCTTTGGGAAAAGGCAAAGAAGGTAGCCCAGGCCTTGCGTTCTCTGCAGGGGCTCAGACAGTAGGAAGGGACAGCACCTCAGGGAGGAGGGGTTGTGCCCAGCTTTAGGCTGCGTGGAGCCCAGTTTAAGGATGGGTGGAAGATTTTGTTTTTGTGTTTGCTTTTCTGGAACTCTGTGTTAATAAAAACCAGACCACAAGATGCGTTGTTATCGGATTACAAAGACTGTGTGGAGTTTGTGTAAGGAGGGGAAAACAGAGGCAGGGCACTGTGGAGACACCTCTGGCCACCAAAGAGTGCTTATTTGGCAGCTACTGTGTTACGCCGCACTTCTTTTTTATTTTTTAAGCCATTTTAAGCAACAGATTTATTTCAAAGTACCACAAAGGACAAGAAGCATGCATGGAAAAATAACTATTTTCAGCTATATTGTGTCTTTGTTTTCAAAATTTTAATTTTAAAACCACAATTTTCAAACATTTTGTTTTTGAAAACAGAGATATATTTGAAAGTCTCTCTTTTTAGAAAGAGGGTCACTTAATGATGAGGTAGGAGGCAGAAGATAGCTGCACCTCCCGATCAACAAAGCGTGGCCCTTACTCTCAGCTGTGTGCTGCAGGAATCACACAGGAAGCTTTCTTCACTTTGGGCCCAATTCTAAAAGGTGCTGAGTATCTTCAACCCTCACCAAGCGCACTTCTGACACCCTTGCTTACACT